TTGATTATTCATCTTTGAGGTACCAATACATTTGAGTTTGTGTGCGTGCGTGCGTGCGTGCGTGCGTGCGTGTGTGTGTGTGTGTGTGTGTGTGTGTGTATGACAAGAACGAAAGCTCTTGGGCCTTTTTGGGGATTTGTAGATTAAAATTTATTTATAATTAAGATGACCATGGCTTAATCAAGAGTGAATCAAGACCAGGTTTCTGAGTATCAAGGTATACAAAATACTTTGTATTTTTAAGCACTCCATACCTTTGGAGAGTGTTATTAACAGGCATGCTAGTTTTTTAAATGTTTCTGTTTGGCGATATAGGGGTACAGAAAATTTGATTGGTATCAGTGTGTTCACAAACTGAGGCAAATAGGAAATCCAGTATATGGTTTAATACACAAAAAGTAATGGAGCTAGGAATGACTTTAATCCATTGATATTCCATAGAGTTTATTTCAATCTGGGATTTGATTTCCTCTTTCTACCAACTAAACCTTTGCCTGCTGCGTTTTTATTGTTGTGGCAGAAGTTATTCATAAGCCTGTCTTCTAATCTGTACCAGGAAGGCACCCTTGCAGCGTTTCTGCTGGGGTTACCGTCCAGGCATGAAAGGAAGCCTTTTCTTGGTTAATACCCGCTGATATTATATATTATATATATTATATATTTTATATATATATATCCCATAACTAGGAAGTACAATACTTGTTTGGAAGTAAATTTTTGAATTGCATTTATTTTCCCTCAATTTTTAAAAACTTAACTGTGTTTATATCACATTAAAGGACTTTGAAAGCATATGTTAATACCTCATTATTCTATCATCTTGACACAGATGTTTTCATTTTCTGGTTCTCTTAGTCTCTGTTCATATATGATTTTGTTTTACTATTGGCATCATTTCTGTTTTTTTTTCTCATTAAACTTAAAGATGTCTCCATTGTTATAAAGTTTTGATTATAATTTTAATTGCTACGTAGTAACTCATCAGCTAGTTATTTTTATGTAAAGCTTTTTAAAGTATTTGCTATATTTCTTTTCTTGTCTAGTTCACATTAGCATTCTGCCATAATTATTCCAAAGTTTTATGCAAATAGTACGTCATCAGTTTCCTTATACATGATTTTTTGCTCTTATGTAATCCTTCATGAATATATATGTTGCAATTTTTAAAAGACAATGGAAATTACTGCATAATTCAGAAGCAACAGTAGGAAGGCCCTGAATTATTTATATTGGGTAACTGCTAATTCACTCTTAAGATTTTCTTTCTTTCTAACATGCTACATTGTTTGTCTGATTTAACCTTTGATTACTGTTTTTACATTTCATGTTTCTACATGGAAGTTGAAATAAATACTACATAAAAGAAATGAATGAGGTTTATTTGGTATTCAATTCCAAAGATTTATATTAAAAACCAGTTTTTTCTTTGTAAGTAATAAATATATATGAACTTTAAGACTGCTGTGGAATCCACATCAGTATAGTAATATTTTAGATATTTAGACACTTATTCTTAAATTCTTTTGTCTGTGATGGGTACTATGAATATAGTTTTATAGCTAGTATAAAACAGAGGTTATAATAAAGTTTGTTGGGAGAGGAGGTTCAAGCATATCAGATATGAAATTTCTGACTTTTGACTTTTGTAATAACTTAAAATATAGCGAATAGTACTTCAAAGCTAACACTCGTATCCTTAAAAATACTAACTTCTCTTTCACTGTGTGTATGTGTACATGTTTATGTAAGGCACAGTTGTGCCTTATTTCTGAATCTTAGTTCTTCCATGTTTATAAATTTGTAGATTTCATCATTATGACGTTTCCATTATAGACCAAAACTTTTTTTTTTTTTTTTTGAGACAGAGTCTCACTTTGTTGCGCAGGCTAGAGTGAGTGCCATGGTGTCAGCCTAGCTCACAGCAACCTCAAACTCCTGGGCTCAAGCAATCCTCCTGCCTCAGCCTCCCGAGTGGCTGGGACTACAGGCATGTGCCACCATGCCCGGCTAATTTTTGTGTGTGTGTGTGTATATATATATATATATATATTAGTTGGCCAATTAATTTCTTTCTATTTATAGTAGAGATGGGGTCTTGCTCTTGCTCAGGCTGGTTTTGAACTCCTGACCTCGAGCAGTCCACCCACCTTGGCCTCCCAGAGTGCTAGGATTACAGGCGTGAGCCTAGACCGGCCTAGACCAAAACATTTTATTGCCATGTTGTTTTAATGTCTTTAGAGCACTTTAAATTTTTTTTTCATGTGTGGTAGATGGAATATCCTATCCTCTTGTTTAGCCAAAGCGTTTTGTGTATAAAATAAAACTATTTTTGCACCTCTCAGTTATCCCTGACCACTTCCCCAGGCACTTCCCTTCCAGTCACCTTGCCAAGTCTGCAGACTCGGGTTAGCTCCGAGTGTCGGGGAGACCCTCCCTGTGGGCCTGGAGCCCTGCAGGGTGCCTGGGTGGTGGAGAGGTCGTGTGGATCCAGCCGAAATGCTTCCCTGCCAGTAGGTCCTGGAGAGAACGAGAGCAAAGAGAGTGGCGTGAAGATTCTGGGAGCACTGAGTTCTCAACTTGTTGCCAGGCTAAGAGTGAGTGCCGTGGCGTCAGCCTAGGCTCACAGCACCTCAAACCCTGGGCTTAAGCAATCCTGGTGCTCAGCCTCGCAGTAGCTGGGACTACAGGCACGTGCCACCATGCCCAGCTAATTTATACATACATACATATATATATATATATACGTATAGACTATATGATAGTAGTAATATTAGTTGGCCATTAATTTCTTTCTATTTTTTAGTAGATGACGGGGGTCTCGCTCAGGCTGTTTCTGAACTCCTGCTTGAGGCAACCTCCGCCCGCCTCGGGCCTCCCGCAGAGTGCTAGGAATTACAAGCCGGTGAGCCGACCCACCGCCGGCCCTTAGCCTGATTTACTCTGACACGTCCCCAAGGCAGCTAGCTCTCCCCAAACCCTACCGAGCCTTTGAATATAGCCCAGCAATACTCACTGACCACCGACTAAGTGCTAAGCACTCGGCTCAGGGCAAGGGATTTTGAGGTAAAC